CTCATCCCTCCCATGGGCCCTGAGTCTCCACCACTGAGTCCTGCTCTCCTGTAAAATTTCCTCTTCATTAAGGAATGAGGAGGAAATCCTTTTTTTGAGGAGGAATATCTTTACTACAAGGGTGCCGGAGCCCTGGCACAGGCTGCCCAGGGAAGCTGAGAAGTCTTCTTCTCTGGAGATCTTCAAAACCCACCTGGATGTGGTCAGGTGCCCCGTGCTCTGGGTGTCCCTGCTGGAGCAGGGGTGGTCGGACTAGATGACCTCTAGAGGTCCCTTCCAACCTCAACCATTCTGGGATTCTGTGATTCATTAAAAACACTGGCACATGGCCCACAGAAGCTATTAGGCGCAAAGCCACAAGCATTAAAAAGATGTCAAATGGAAATAAAGGATGTAGGTCCAGGAACTCCAGGAGCCTGTGAGGAAAGCACAGTGTCTCGACGGGCCATACCACTGGCTCCAGGGCTTGAAAGCAGAAGACCAAGGCTTAAGGAAGGAGCAGCGTGCATGTGTCAGGCAGAGAAAGAAAGAGGAAGAAAAAGGGATATGGCTAAGCTGAAAACGAGGAGCAAAGAGTGGAAGAGAAGAAAGGTAGGAAAGGGCTTCTGATAAATCAGGTAATCGAGGCTACAGTAAGAAGCGCCTAGGGAGACTAATTACCTCCTAACCAGGACTTAATCACACTGTGGTCCACACCTCTGAGAGATGAAAACACATCCCATCCAGGATATCTATCTGTGCATTCCTGGCACCATCATCCACAACTCCACATTGCCATAGAGTGTGGCAAGACACCATCTCAGCCAGTTAACAAAAGGCAATGGCAATCAGCATCCAGGAGATGAGATCAAAACAGAAGAACCAAAAAAGGCAGAGAAGTAACTGAAGCAGAAATGGACCTCGGAAAGGAGAAGAGTGAATACACAGGAGATATCTATGAGGAAAAGGCCTAGTTTCATCCATGGCCAATACCTGCATCAGGTTCAACGCTTGGCCTAGTGCTCCAGCTGAAGAGATGTTGCAACACTCTAGGAGACCAGGGGATGGGGAACCAGCCTTCAATCTCACACCTCTTCTGCTGGTCATATTGCAGCCTGACTTCTCATTTCCAGTTTGAACTTTCCAAACGACTGGACGCTGTACCAAATGAAGGCTTCAGCTGATACATGAGACATCCTTCTTAAGCCTAGGTAGGCCTATGGCATGGTCACATCAGCATCGCCTCCCAGGCTACAAGACCACAACTCTACAGATAAATTTGAGGGGTTAGAAAGACTCCCAGATACTAGAACCAACTAAGCTATATGGTTAAGCCCTTATAAAAGAGGGCAGCTTTGGACAGGCAGAAAGAGTTAAATGTCATCAAAGTCGGCTGCCTCAAGCCATTTGGGCTCAGTGCCAGAGACTAATCCTCAGCTTTTTTATTTGAATAATATATAGACGCAGCCAACATGACTCTCATTTCTCTCCTTTCAGCTTTCCAATATCTTTCATCAGGGAACAGCAATGATAGCCCCTGGTTACATATTACTCAGTACTGGTAGAAGTCAGGAGCTTTACCTTCCACCCCAGGGGCTATTTTATTTTTCAAACAGTCAAACTGCGTGTTCCCGAAACCAGGCAAATTCATAACATGGTACAGACTACTCCTCCCCAGTCAGCCAGACAGATGAAAGGGATTAAAGTAAATGCTATCAATTAAATGCAGCCTTTCATGGACTGCAGAAAAACAGCAACGTACCAATGAAATATCTATTAGAACAGCCACGCTGGCTCAGACGAGATCCCCTTCTCACCCAAAACATCCTCGGATTACAGCTGGGAGCAGCCCCTGGAGCACAGAGTAAGAAAGACAGCACATACCAAGCAATAGAAATGTTCAGCAAGGGCTGTCCAGGATTTTCCAAGCTGCAAGTTGCATCTGGATTGCTCTGTTTAATAGCTGCTAATGGGCGCGTGAGCCATTTGTGCTTCTTCAAACCTGTTTATTCTTTTGGCCTTCATAGCACCCTGGGGCAATGACTTGCATAATGCACGCTAAAAATAAATTACTCTGGTTTGGTTTAGAACTGCTGCCTGATCGGTTTTAGGGGTGCAACATCGGCCACAAGCAGTGAAAAATATTTCATGGTAAGTGCTCAAGACACAGTTCTGTAGCATCCTCTCCAGCCCACTCCATTGCTTTTTAGCAGCTACCATATAAAATCCAGATGAATGAGGGGATGGGAGACAACTGCTCTGATCTCCAAATTCTCCTCTGGATAGACCTTCTCCCAAAAGTGCCCATGAGTCCCCCAAAAAGCACTGACAAGGAGAAGCATGGGGAGATGATCAACACCAACGAAGCAGCGAGCAAGCCCTGAACATACAACAACATCACAGAGCATCAGGAGAAATACTGACAGTTTATTTCACAGAGCATCGCAGAGTTCATTTTGGTCTAGCTCTATTTTCATCAAAAAAATCTCACCCTTTTTTTTTAAAAAGAAAGGTAGCAAATCTTCAGGACAATAACGGTAACAGTCAGTGCATTACGCGTAAGGTTTGGGTCTCATTGTAAAAAATAAGAATTAAATAAAAAAAAAAAATCAGCAACTCTTCATTGGATTGCTTTTTTACACTTCCAAGCTTTTAAGCACTTGACCTTTCAATAAGATCATCTTCAAGAATAAGAACAGAACATGCAGGTGATTATCAACAGATGCTGAGATTTAACAAAGTCTTTCACTTGGCAATGACAATCTGCCAGGAATGTGTCAATACAGCACCACATTTAAGGGAGAAGCAACTTGTTCTCAAAGGCCTTCAATTCCACCAAAATCTTGCAGTTCTGAAGGAAAAAAGAAAAACCACACTTTTTTTTTTCTCACAGACTCGAGAGTACCATACGAAAGGACAGTACTGGGGAAGGTGAGCGGGAGCATGGACCAGGGTCTCACTCCACCTACATTCATAAAAACCCAGGGCAGATACAAAAGACTTTAAGTCTCAATTTGCACTGCCCAGGGAGCGCACATTAAAGCATGACAATTAAGGTTTAACAACTTGCTTGCATCATTAGTAGGAACATTTTTTTTCTTCTGTCAATTTGACATTTTATTTAATTTCTTTCCTTATATAAAACTCCGTTGGCTGGTTTATCCCTCAGCTCCTCTGCAGCAAGAACAAGGCTGGGGTTTTAAAACCTGACTGGTTTACAGCTAAAAATGAGCAGTTTAGTGCTGTGTGATAATAATTGGTATTATGTCTTGTTTCTGGCTATACCAAGCCTGTGTTTATATCTAACATGATGCAAACCAGCACCCCAAAAACACTCCTCTGTTCTGCAAGATCACTTCTTCTGGTAGCGTAGCAGAAAAAACCAGAGCAGCCTGTGCTCCGAGGCTCAGCCTTGGCTTCCACTTCTTCCACGGGAAATGACTTTCATCCTGCCCCCGTTTTCAAGGCAGTGCACGCTGGACTTCAAAGGAAGCCCGTGCTCAATGGGGTGTCTCCTATTGCACGTCGTGGCCACCACTATGCAGCAAGGAAGGAAGCCACCCAGCACCAGGAGGAGGTGGGGAACCAGCCAAAACTCATTCATACCCAGGGCAGCCTCTTGGCTGCCTTCAGCTGCCTCGGGAAGTGGCTCCATACAAACAGCAAAGTGACCCAAAAACCAGCTCCTCTCAGCGAGGAGCAGAGACTTCCCTTGGGCTGGCTGCAAGCTCTTGTGAGGAGGGAAAAATGCAATTGTAATCTACTTAGTTCCCTATTTTTAATTTTTTATATATAGACTTTTTTAACCTCTGGTCTAGGATTTTGGTTTATAGCATCTTGCATTGGAAAAAAGCGCCGAGAGCAGCTCTCATCTCCATGAGCCCTTCAACACGGGCTGCAAGACCGCTGCTCGCTTGGAGGACACGAACATGCAGCCTCAAGAATGTTCTGCCTGGAAAGCAAGGAGATAAAAGCCTCCTCACAAGAATAAATTATTCTTTTTTACCCTTTCCCCTGGCAAACTATGCACAAATCCTCTGCCCGTGGGCATCCTCTTGGCCCCAAAAGGCAGGAGCTCGCACTGCGCTGCTACCTCTTTGGTGGTGCAAGGACGGGCGAGCGAGGAGCAATGGGAAATGCCACGGGAAGTGGCAGGCACTTCAGCCAGGTCTCCGGGCAGTGGTGGCACTCACAGCATTGCTTTTTTTGCAAACCATCACACTAGAGCTCCACGCAAGGGAGAGAAAAGCTAAAATGAATCCGAATCATTGCTGCCAGCAAAGGCCAGTTCATAGCCTTAAGGAGAACAACAGGTTACTTTGCTCTGAAAAGGTTGTTCTCCTTAAAGCATCATTTTGGGAAAGGGGGACAGGACAGAGAGAAAGAGTGAATGAGCCAGTGCAATTCCTCTCCTAGCTCCCCATTCCAGCAGGAAAGAGCAGCACGGTCTTCTCTCCCAGGAAAGCTTCTCTCTCTTCCAAACAGCCTCCTGTTAAAGCAGAGGGAGGGCTTCATTGCCCAGGAAGGGGGGAAAAAATGAAAAAAAATAAAATAAAAAAAGAATAAAATATCCCCAAAAAGAGCAAACCCCACACTTCACGAGAACTTCACAACATACGTTTTAAATGGAGTTCAGCTACACAGTCGCTGCACCAAAGGAAGGGGAGGAAGGGGATCCACGTCCCCCCTGCTTCCCCCGGCCTCCCCAAGGCCATCACATCAAGATGCAAATAACTTCAGCCATAGGGTGGATGATTTAATGAACAAAGTATTTCCATTCATGCCCTGGAAAAACGGGTACACTCCAAAAAAAAAAAAAAAAGACAAAAAAATTAGATTTTCTACATATTTACAAAAAAGAAAAAAAAACAGCCCCACGACCTCGCAACCAGGGAGGCGGAGTGGCCGCTGCTGGGAAGGGGTGTCTGCCCAAGGAGCAGTTCCTCAATGATTCCCGTCCCGGAGCGGGCAGGAGAGCGCGGCTCTCGCTGCCGGAGGGGAGGACGGCGGGGACCGGGTCCGGGCTCCTCAGTTCATCCGCATCTTGGTGTCCCGGTGATCCGTGGGGGTGACCATGTCGTTGGAGTAGCCGTTCTCGGAGCAGAGCGACAGCTCGTCCGTGTTCTCCACGCCGTTGTTGATCTCTGGGCGAGAGCAGAGAAGGGGAGACGGTGTGAAAGCGCCAGTAAGGAGTAAATAAAAATAAAAGCATCAAGAGCTCCACAGGAACTTAAGGAAAAAGTTCTTAACAGTGAGGGTGACAGAGCACTGGAATAGGCTGCCCAGAGAGGTTGTGGAGTCTCCTTCTCTGGAGATCTTCAAACCCGCTTGGACGCAGTCCTGTGCCACGTGCTCTAGGTGACCCTGCGTGTGCAGGGGGTTGGACTAGATGACTTCTAGAGGTCCCTTCCTACCTTCAGCATTCTATGATTCTATGAAAATGAGCAATAAAATCCTGGAATGGCTCACGGCCTTCCCCTGTGGGCAGCAAGGAACTGAAGCACCCAGCAGCTGCGAAATTCCTGTACAGCAGCTGCAAGCAGAATTGAGACTTCTAGGACCTATAGGGATTTTCCCCCAGGCTTTAGAAATGCTGCCTTCGCTTATGCCAAATCTGAACAGAATTTCCAGCAGGATTTCCCCTCCGCACCTGTGCCCCGCTGATACCACCAGCACCACAAGAGGTGGAATGGGTCTCCCAGATACAGGATGCGCTGAATTGCTTGAAACTTAACTCTGCAACCTCTAAGGGCATTTTTAATGTTGAGAACTTCTGGGGGAGGGTTTTCTCATTCTGGGCTGACTGGGTTTACTTCCAGTTTCCATTGGTTTTGGTGGGTGGACTCAGGCCTGCAATTCATATAACACACTTTTTGAAGCAGGACTTGTCGCTCTGCTTTGTGTGTGCATGGCAAAATGAACCTGATCCCTGCAGGATGTCTCCAGCCCCCAATGCAAAGAAAGAAAACCAATAAAACCAGTCAAGCAAAACACCACAGGGAGAGGGTTCACATTCCTTAAAATGCATTTTTTCAGCTTAACCAGCACCATGGAGGGAGGCAACATGTGCCAATGCGCCTCACCCTCCAGGAGGAGCACGAGGACATCAGAAATCCCTTGATCTCTAGGGCCTTGGAGTGCCAAGTCCAATCCAAACTCATCACCACTATTTGTGGTGACTTACAATGTTTTAGGATGCTGTTATTTTACTGAGTTTTATAGGTGCTTTCCCCCTCCATCAGCAGAGTAGGGTGACAGCAAAGGGCCAGAGCAGAGGGCTCCTGCCTTGCTGTGTGGTACCTGAGAAGATCAGCTTCTCCTTCATGATCTTGACGTCCCGGCTGGACCGGCGCACGGCAGCACTGAGCATGATCTGCTCCGGGTTGTACGTCCTGATGCTTCCTAGGCGCCACCTGCAAGAGAAGAGGGGAATGCCACAAGCTGGTCCCCCCAACCTCGGGAGTCTCCTCAAAGCAAGTGGCCACCAGCTTGGAGACCGGTAAATCCCGGACACCCTCACGCCTTCGCTCCCTTGCGTCTACGCAACATCCACGTGATGGGTGGATGTTCAGAGATGAGAAGCAACGTGGTATCTCAGGGGGGATTTGGGCACGAACATCAGGTTTTCAGCAACTTGGACTTCTCCATTCCAGCAGTCCACAAATTTCACCAGTGCTCACAGATGCCAGAACCAATCTGCTACCCAATTGCCCTAAGGGATGATGACAAGTGGACTGTATTAACTCTTGAGGACAGAAAGAGGAAGGGGAACACAAGACTGAGCCAAGTGAAGAAACCATGACCTTCTCTTCAGTGTGATGTGCTCACACTTGCGGGAGGAGAGCGCACAAGGACAAACTAAGGCCTCAAACTGGAGACACGCAGCAAAGACACTGGCACAAGCTGCTCCGAAGGAAAATACAAGTAGTCCCAACACAGGTGGCTGTCAAATAAGGTGCCCTTGCACGCAGTTCCTCTCCAGAGCAGTTCCCTTCCTAAATGCTGAGGGATCTTTGCTTAAATGCCCCCACCAACTCTTCTCCTTAGCCAGAGAGGTCTTGAGGCTGGAAGACAGTGAGGGATGAAGCCCATGCTGTCAGATTGGGTCCTGGTAGCTGCTTCTAGCCCCAAACCACAGTAAAACTCAACATCTGCAAGAAGTTTCTACCACATTAACAATGTGAGGAGGCTGATGGGAACACCTGGCTGCAACCATTTTTCCCCCTCCGTTACCATATAAAGAAAATTGTTGCTGTTAGCAATGAGTGGTGGCAGCAAATGAAAGAGGACTTTGCTTTTAAAGCTCTTTCTCAGCCTGGGATCTCACAGGAACTCTTGGCTGTGGACCTGCTAGAAGAGCAAAAGAGGGGCTACTGCAGTGCTGTGGGGATAAGCAGACCCAAAGAGGCCCTACTCAAGACCCCTCTGCAAAGAGATGCTCTTCAGGCCATGCTTTCCCAGATGAGAGCCCACCTCCTCTTCCCACCTCCTGACCAAGAGAAAGGCTTCCAGACTCGTGTCCCTTGAGAGGTTGTTCTTGATCTCTCCCTGGCCAATCCAGAGATGTTAGGTTGCCATTTGATGGAGAAACAGCAGGGATTTGGGGTGTTTTATAGGGTTTCTGGTCTTTTGGCACCATCTAGTGGCTCACGCGCAAAAAAGGATGGGAGTTCTGGGGGGCAACCACCACCACCTAAATTTCCAGCCCCCTTCCCGGTCCTATTTCCAAAGGATTTAAACGAGTCCGAAACATCTCTGGTTTGGGCTCACAGCAACCATCTGACAAAACAACAGCCATAGAAGAGTTTCTGTAGTTTCCTCAGGAAAATCTGGGAATTTCATGGGGTTCCAGGCCCTTCCCAGATCCCTGCAAGTTGCCCTGTCGGGCTCTGATCCAGGCTATAGATGAAACTTGCTCTGCTACAGAGGGAAGAGGGGGTGGGATGCCAAAGCCGCACACTGGACAGCCCCACGGACAGAAGCAACACAGAGGAAGCACAAAGGGGCAGAGAAGCCATTAAAGCCTTAAAAGACTGAAATAAGAAAATAAAAGCTATTTTGCTTCCGTCATTATCAAAGCTAAGCCACACACTGGCTTGGAAGAAAAATGTTTCTGCTCTCGGTGCCCTGTGCAGGCAGTCTGTAGCTCCCAGAATCATCGACGGGATTGTGAGCACTTAGGAGGGTCTGATCCTGCAGCTCCTAAGCTATAGACTAGATCAAAATATATTGCCAAGACCTCCTAGGGGTCCAGGAGGGAATGTCACCTGCAGGTAAGAGAAGTAGAGCAGGGCTGGCAGCTGGGATGCGTTTGCAAAACAGGAAACATCCAAGGAGCAACATCAAAATCAGATGAAATATGCAGGGATGGTGCCGTTATTTTAGTTCCTGTGTGGCAGCCATAGAAAAGAAATCAGGCTCTCAATAATCATCCCTCTTTTCAGGGGGTATTTTGAAACATTCCCTTAGCACAGGAGCCACCAGTGCATTTAACTGATGCAGCTCCAGCCAATGCCATATAAAGCAGTGCCAGGAGTAGAGTCAGGAGGCTCTGGAGATCCGGAAAGCATATTTACTCTAAAATAGCACCTTTCCTACCGGTTTGCACATTGCTTTTATCATGCACATGTAGGACAGCAATGCACAAAAGGGCCAGGCCAGAGGAGGGTCACTGAGAGAGCAGGTGGGTCTTGTTCTGAGACATGGGCATCAAAGCAGACCAGGTGGGCATGAGATGGGACAGGCAGAAAAAACACTGGGGCAGTGACACACAGACAGCACACACCATGTCCGGGCAACAGCCGGTGCCCTTGGTTTGGAGGGGAGATGCTAAACAGCATGGAAAGGTTTGGGAGAGGGCAGGGAAGAAACCGGGGGTAGATTGGTGGAATGGGGAGAGATGGAGATGAGCAAAGAGCCAAGCCAGCCACAACCGCAGAGCACCCCCATCCTGCTACCGCCCTCATCTGAAGCAACCTGACTCTTCCAAGCCTTTCTCCTCTGTGTGTGGGCAAATCCAAGAGCAAGGAGGAGGACAGGGTGACCCAAGGAGGGCTCAGGAGGTCCCGTTTTGAAGGTCACGGTGCTGCAGAACATCCTTCTGCAGATGGACGTTGGGTGCGCGAGTCCGGGTAGGCAATACTTACAGGTGGCCAACACCAGCCCCGAGGTGTTGGGTGGGCAGGGGGGCAGATAAGAGCACACACAGAGTAGCTGTTCCTCAGAGATACAACCCCATCGCTCAAAGCGAAAGGAATGGAGAAGGTAACACACAGAGAAGTTGGTCCGAGGACAGAGGTGGTGAAGGCTTCACTGCAGAAAAGGGATAGAGCCTCCCCTCGAGGGGAGGAAAGCTACTGGGGAGAAAACAGCCAATATAAGGAGAAATCTGGGCTTCAAATTTAGGGGGTTTCAAATTTGGGGGGCTTCAAAACCAGCATCCCAGGCTCACTGCCTTCCTGGAGTGATGCTGTTTATTTTCATACTGTATTAACAGTTTGGTGGTGCTGTAACTGGGAAGAGGCTCCCGAAAGATCCCAAGCCCAAACAAGTGAAGCAGCGGAAGAGCCAAACCTTTTCATTCCCCACCGATTCCTCCCCAGGGATGCAAAAATGATGCTCTGTGGACCTGAACAAGGTTACATTTTTCTTTAGAAGCCTTGAAGCTTCACTGGAGGCAGCACAAAGCCCATCACAACAGTGCACTGTGCTGCTACTTCAGAGGTAAAAATCAGAAAAATCCAAAATAACTCTTTTCCCTCCCTAAAAAAGGGCAGAGCACAGCTGGACCAGGGTGTTAAATAGGGGTTTTACCCCAAGAAGGAAAGGGAATGAAGCAAAGGGGCACAGGAAAGTCCCAGCTTCTAAAACCTGTTCCTAAATCATGCGCCTGGGGTAGGTGAGCACACCATGACAAACTCACTGCTTCTTCACTGCCCATCTCCCACGGTTTTAACAAATCAGGAAGGATAGGCAAAAGTCTCAAATGTCAATGGTAATTCCACCTTAGTGGAAATTAGTGGGATTAGATGTCCAAGTTAGAGCAGGCTGGACTCAGCAGCTTCTGGTGACCACAGTAAGGAGGGTGATTTTTTGCAGTGGGATCATTTCTGTGCAGAAAGCACTACATCCATGGGGAGCTTCCCAATTACAGCACACTGCAGGACATTAGAATTGGGCAATTTTCAAAGGCAGCGTCTTAGATGAAGGTAACAGAAAACATGAGATTGCCTTCAAAACACCCAGAGGCTTCAGCATCAGGCTCTCGTGGTGTTGATGACTACAGACCATGCAACGTTCAGACTTTTATGGTCCCATGTGAAGCCAGATGTTTGAAAGCATCATTGAAAGCTGTGTTCTGCCCTGTCCATCTGCAGTGAAGCCACAGCAGAGAGGGAGAAAGAAAGGAAGGAAGGTTGAATGAAAAAGAGAAAGAGGAGGAAAGCACCAGAATTACCTGATCATGTGATAGCTGTGAGATGCCAGAATGCAGCAGAGAGAGAAAGAGGAGGAACATGCACAACAGTCAGAGCAGTAAGAAAATAAACAAGGCAAAGAGGCAAAAAAGATTGGTTAGAAGTCATCACAGTCGGTATTTCCCCTCCAGAGAGGCTGCACGGATCCTGTCACCAGGGCTGAAGCAGAATAGCATGAGCAGTTCCTACCCGCAACCACGGAAGAGAGAAAAGCCATGCGTAGGAGAGAGGACGAGCACATCGAAGCGGTGGCTCTGTTCCCACCCACCCCCTCGTCCTTGCGTGGAGGAAGCAGCTCTCGTTTTGCCCCGGAAAGGATTTGGGAAAATAAAACACAACAACAAACAACAAAAATAAATAAATAAATAAAAGAATAATATGTTTAAGGCCAGAGGCCAAGCTCCACTTCCCAGATCTGAATCATAGGGCAACTGGGCAATTCTCCTGCAGTTGGGTTTTTGGTAAATCCTCAACCCTTCCAACGTGGTGGTGAAGTCACACATAGCAGGGAAATGGGTCTCTCCGGAGTGGGGTGCACACGGCAGGAGCTCTTGGAAAAGCAAGTCTTTTCCACTTAATGGTGCTCAATCCCTCTGGGCAAATGCTTTTCTATGTGACAAGTCCAGAGGTTGGGCAGACAGCTCCATGCTGAAGGGTGACAAACCCTGGGGAAGGCTGGTGGCAGCTTACAAGTATCCTTGACTGCATCAGACTTACTCTGAGAGTGGGGAACGGATCCTGCAATATCAATAATTCTTTCACCCCTTACCCTGCTTCCTTACCCTCTACCCCATCAAACCACTTCCAAATCGGAAGAAATTCAGTCCATGCAGGAAGGGAGAAGCCAGCTATTGCAAAGGCCACATAGCTGCAACCTCTCTCCAAGCATGCATCATTTCACCCTCTTTTGGGACCTGTAGCTCACATTCAGCAATTTGAATCAGTTTAATTTCTTCATCTACGGTCTCCTCGGTCAGATTCAGAAAGCCTGTTAAAAAGCACTTCAGGAGATGACAAGAAAGTCTCTGTGAACATCCTGTCACTTTAGTCTTCAAATTCTGCTCTCAAGAGCAGTAAGAGACACATCTCTTTCTCCAGACTCCTCTGTGTATTTCTACAACCACTGTATAAGAGAGGGCCTGAAGAGAGGGGAAATCTCTTAGACCAACTGAGGAATTTTAGGGGTAGAGAAAGCGTTCAGACATCACAGTTATGATGCTGTTTGGAATTAAGGCTTTAATTGGCTGCGGTTCAAGTTATAGTTATGAGGTTTAAGTTATGAGGCTTTTTATCCCATCTCAATACCCTGTAGCCCATGTTACAATATGCACTTTGAGGGCAAGCCATGTCTTTCAGACCTAAAATCACCCAGAAAAATAAATGTAATCACATTGTCCATCTCATTTTCGTGTTGGTTTCACTAAACGTTGGGAAATCTATTCTGAAAGCTGAGTTTTGAACCTGCCTCTGGCTCCATTATCTGGTTGTGGAGTTGGTCACCTGCAGAGCACAGCTCCACCGATGTGGAGCTAGGTCATGATTTCAAAGGGACATAATTATAGCAGAGCCAAATGGATCTGAGGAGGTAAGGCAGGCCCAAAATCTTTTGCTTGAAACCTAGACCATACTGGGGGAAGCAGGAGCAATAGTCTATTGTAATAGGGACTATTGTTCCCAGGAAATTACCCACCCTAAGGAAGCTGCAAACAAGGGATTTGGGAAAATGTGACAGCAAAATCACTGGCTGGCCAGGAGATGGCATCGCTATTCCTAATGCTAGGGCATTTGGGATATCAATAAGGAGGGAAAGGACAGGTCCTTTCATGTCTCTAGGTCTGCGGTTTGTACCAAAGCAGATGAGATTACTAAGGCAGGGGAATAGCCGGTGTGTTTCCAGATGACATGTTCTCCTGGGAGAAATCTACTGCTTCTCTAGCAAGGAAATTCCCCTCTCTCCCTGAGCTCATGCTTTCCCAGAGAGGGTTATTACGTTGTCATCACCGACAGCTAAGAGGACTCCTGGGGAAAAGTCACATCACCAGAAGGACACCATGGTTTCCTCCAGCATAAGCAAAGAGAGGGCAGTTTGGCCACTTCTACCATTAGGAAGAAGATTTCTCTCTTATCAATTTATCAATGTCTCAACTAACCCTGCTCCTACATTTTCCACTCCATGCTCATTTTCAGGGATCCTGGAGAGCCGAGCAAGGTTTCTGCCATGCCCTCATTAAATCCTTGTTCTGTTCTCTACCTTCTTTAGGAAAGTGGGGAGACTTTCTCCAAGTCTCAGACTAAGGACAATACAGAGAACTGCTTTGATCTGCTAAGTCATAATAATTTTGATTCACTTAAAAATGTCTCCATTTCATCTTTCAAATGGAAACAAACTGATTTAAAAATTTCCTGAGCTTTCTCAAACTATAGCGTGTCCTTGAAAATTATAATCATGGAATCTCAAAATATTTCCTCTTCTTCCTTCAGAATATTTCAATCTTCCTCAATGCTCTTTTTCCCACAATATTTACAACTTCTCTCCCACACATGTTTATGAGTCTCTTGCTCCTATTTTGAGATTTCCCACTCTTCTCAGCAAGAAGCAGTAGTAACTTTACCCAGTTCAATATCTCAGAGGTGGAAGGAACATGCCACAAATACATAAAGGAGTTGAGTCGTAACAACAGTACTTACTTCTGGAATATAAAAACTCCTACAATTACGATAAATGAAATGAGATCAGATGTGATCCAGATTAGACGGTACTCGTCTGGAGGCTGGAAGGAGAAAAAAAAGAGAACAGAGGCAGACCTTATACATTCTCGTTTACACAGAGATATGTATTGTCAAGTTATAACTGGGACAGAGAGGAATATTTTAAACCCTGTGATTTACACGTGAGCCCTGTAGCTCTGTTCTAATGTTAGCATGCCACCCGGAATGACTTCATCGGGAAAGACTGCAAACAGGAGCAGTTTCAAAGCTCTTTCTCCTTTCATGCACTCACATTTTCTCAGGGCTTTGTGGGTTGAAAGCTTCCAATCTCATCTGTACCTCTAGGTGGGGTAAGATGCTATTTTTGTAAATCCAAGTCAGTGGGACAATAGAGGAAAATACATATATACACACACACATATATTATATATATATGAATATACATAAAAATAATAAATATGTATAATATATAAAAATCTGCACCTGGGACCATTTTGAATGCTTTGCTAGAATAAGTACTCCTTATTCTGAGGTTTTATGGCCAAGCTTATTCTGCTTTTTGCAGTTGAGCACAGCCCTCACAGAGGAGGAGAGCCCTTTGCACTTTAAGCATATACTTTCAACTTTTGTCCCTTAACGTACAGGTAACTCAGTGATTACAAGTTGTCCAGGCTCCGTTTACTAGTCTAAGTGACTATCTCTATTGCACCAACTAACCGTATGGACCTAGCATCATGGACCCAAATGCTTCACATTTGCTTTTGTGCTGCCCAGGAAGGAGAAAGCTGAAAGACAACGAAGTCATGGGGTAATGAATAATAATTGACTAATAATTGCTCAGAGGGCACCTACTGGGGAGCCCCATCAGTGATGGCTAATCAACTTCTGCTTTGCCAGCCCAAGCCTGAAGAACATGGTTCCAACCAGAAAATAAGTAGCTGATTTCAGACCACAGACAGACCCATCACAGTCACAATACCAGCAATAATGCACACAAGTAATATTCCATTAGAAAAGTGGGATCCATAATACAAGAAGGTGCATCATGGTAGGGTGACATGGGTGAATACACGTCTGAAGCCATCAACTGTGCTCACTTCATCCCCTAGAGCAATGAAGCTTGTTTTCTGCCTCTTTATGGATTTCAATTTGTATTATGAAAGCATACTGCAGAATTAGCAGAGCAATGCTTAAATTAGCCAGTGTGTCTCATGGAGATTTAATCCTTGTATTTTCCAGCTTAATTATGGAAGGGTGACATCTAACATGGTGTTGACATTGTAGGAAGGTCTGGCTGTAATGTTCTATTTGCTGCATCTATTAAGATAAATAGATACAACTTGAAGCATTCCCATTTGCAGAAGGATGCAATCATAACATTTGAATGAATGCTCAAGAGTCTTCTAGATTAGAACAAAATCTACACATTCAAATTTTTTGTTCTGTGCAAGTAAAGGTATTATACAGTGGAAGACTTTTCGTTGTTTTTTTTTTTTCTGTGCAGCAAAAGTTGCATTTTCCAGATGTATACCCAGCAATAGGCAGACATGAACTCAGCTTTCTGGGCAGTAAACATCAACACCTTGTGCTGAACATTACAGGTATTTTTTTAAAAAGTCCTTCAAAAAGCTCAAAGCTATAGATTTTGGTACCAAATCAAGGCTCTATGAGCTACTGATCTGCAATTGCAAGGCATTCTATAAGGGAAAAATGGATTATTAATATTATTATTATTATGGATTTTATCATTTCTCTTTTGCCATGATCTCACACACAAATATTTCTATGTGGTTCAGGGATCCAAAATGCTAGCCAAGTTTTCAGGGAGTTGGCTGGCTATATGATGGACAAGGGGGCTACTTTTTGTCTCTCGCTGTACTTCTGGCTGCCCTACTGCTGAACAAGTAAAAATCTCTCTCTAAAAGAATAAAAAAGAAAAAGGGCCATTTTAGATAAGCCAAGTACCTGCTTTTCTTGCAACTCAAATTGCTACTCAGCTGGTCTGGAAATATTTTTTTCCTTGATAGAAAATGAGAAAAAGCACATGGGCTAAATGGGACCCACGACAATCTCCAAAACTCACAGACTCTGCATGGGAAGAGACTGAGGTCAACTGAAGGGGGTCACACAGCAGATCCATTGCCAGCCAAGGGCACAGACACAGGGAAGGTAAAACTCCCAAGCCCAGCAGCATGTTGAAGCCAACTAAACCTTCCTGAAGAAATCCACCATGGTGGACAGCCAGCTTTTCACCCCGTCATGGTGTGATCCCAAGTGTCATGCTTACCATGAGCCAGATGGGAGAAGGCACCTTGCGAAGGACGTGGGAGCTGTCGGAGGTGACCGACTGGACGCCGGCGCACCACAGGATGGAGAACAGCCAGGGCTCATTCACAGTGTAGAGATTCACGCTCAGGTTCGCTGTGGCATAGTCCCTGCCAGGAGACAAGCAGATGGAGGGGTTATGGCTACAGCAAGAAATAGGGCCTCCCACACTTCATTCCAGTCATAGAATCATTATGGTTGGAAAAGACCTTCAAGATCATCAGGTCCAACAACAAGCCCTTCAACACCAGTTCTGCAGAGAGGGACCTGGGTGTCATGGTGGACAACAGGTTGACCATGAGGCAGCAGTGTGCCCTCATGGCCAAGAAGGCCAATGGGATCCTGGGGTGCATTAAGAAGAGCATCTCCAGCAGGTCGAGGGAGGGGATCCTGCCCCTCTACTCAGCCCTGGTGAGGCCACATCTGTATTAGTGTGTCCAGTTCTGGGCCCCACAGGACAAGAGGGATGTGGAGCTGCTGGAGAGAGTCCAGTGCAGGGCTACAAGGATGATCAGGGGCCTGGAACATCTGCCCTATGAGGAGAGGCTGAGGGAGCTGGGCCTGTTCAGCTGGAGAAGAGAAGGCTGAGAGGGGACCTGAGCAGTGTCTAGAAGTACCTCAAGGGAGGCAGTGAGGAGGATGGTGCTGGTCTCTTTTCAGTGGTGGCCACCGACAGAACTAGAGATAATGGCCCCAAACTGAAACACCAAAAGTTCCACAGGAACTTAAGGAAAAATTTTTTAACAGTGAGGGTGCCAGAGCACTGGAACAGGCTGCCCAGATAGGTTGTGGAGTCTCCTTCTCTGGAGATCTTCAAACCCGCTTGGACACAGTCCTGTGCCACGTGCTCTAGGTGACCCTGCGTGTGCAGGGGGGTTGGACTAGATGATCTCTGGAGGTCCCTTCCAACCTTAAGCATTCTATGATTCTATGTCTGTTAAACCATGTCCATAAGTGCCACATCTACACGTTTCTTGAATGTCCTCTCAAAGAGGAGAGCTCTTGTGCGATAATGCTGTCTAGACTTACTGGGTTTTGATTGCAGGACACAGGCTTTTTATAGGGCACAGGTGCTTCACAAGCAACGAGAGGAAATTGCAATTAAATGGGTTGAACTTAAAAGGCTTCTTCTTCTCTCAGACAACCAAGCTACATCCCATTGCCAACAGTTATTCAACAAAGAATGGACAATTCCATTTTTCCTAATGGCTGTCTCATCATGCTGATGAAAATTAACATCTGACTCAGACACCCATAACACTAAGTAATTTATTGAATTGAAAATTGACAGACTGCATTTCCAACATCACTTCCTACAATCCCCATTCCCCTGCTCTGAGGACAGTCACAGGGTTGTTGCTTCCAATCTTATGGACAACCTCTAATCTCCAAAAAACATTTTCCGCTTAAAGCTGGTGTACAGGACCCACTGACAGTAAGCCAAGAACTAGTGCTGGACTCTCTCTGCCCAACAATTTGCACAACTTGTTGGATTTCCTTATCTACAAGGCAGGAACATCACTACGGGCAGCACAAAGATTAATACTTGCAAATTAGCATCTGCAAAGCACTTTGAGGAGACAAGCCGCTGTACAAGACACGGGCATCTCAAAACTCGCAACATGATCAAGCTGCTTCAAGGGGATTGGGATTTTCAAGGATAGAATCGGTTGCAGTGGTGTCACGGCCAAGACACTAATTTTGGGGGGCTGAGAGCTGTGTTGCACCTGGGCTGGTTGAACCTGCTCTGGGAGCAGCTTCACACTAAGGCTTGCACTGCAGAACTGCTGAGATATTTGACCAGGCACAGCACAGGCCAAAAAATACTCAGGTCTCGTTTTAGAGACAGTTCAGCACTAGGAAAGGTAGATAGATGACCATGTTGCATGTGGTTCTTTCCATGAAACGGAGGAAATTATAGCGGAAAAACAGGCAGGATTATCCTTTAGATGAAACACAGACCTGGTTCTATGGGCAAGCAAGTAGACTGTGGGCTGGCACCCACACCAAATAGGACCACACACTCAAAAAGCTCTAGGCTCAGCTTTTCAGTGCTCCCATGTGCTCACGTATAGTAGGACAGGTTATTTAAAGACATATTTCCTCTGCAAACCAGTTTAATTTTAAGTTATTTGTTTAAGGAACAAAGTCAAACTCCAAAAATGTAAAAGCTCTGCTAGAGATAATCCACCCTTCCAAGGGTGGAAGAAGAAGAGGGGGCAAATGTGCAAGTTAACACACTGCACATTTGAAATACTCAGGTGGAAGGAGGAAAACCCATGCTGTGCCAGTCTCAAAGAGGAAACCACACTATCCTAAATAGGTGACAAGAGCAGCATTGAAATGGGTGAATTTTCTGCAAAAAGGATTTTCTAAAAGCAAACCCACACTTTGGACTAATCAAAATCTTGCCGTAACAGCCCTGGAGCAGAACAGACGTGAAAGGCAGCTCCTAATGGGGATGAAACTGCAGGCTGAGATAGTCAGTGTGAGAAGCCCCAACTTCTTTCAGAGATGACAGTGGAATAAGAATCAGACAACTCCTATATTTGTATTTCAAAGGCTCATCATATCCTGAATTAATATGTAGAGCTTATAGAGTCAACTGTCAACTCCTGGGAACAGCCCCGATTTGGCTTGATGAACAAGGACATCTTTACACAGCTCAGGCTTTTAAGCACATCCAAGCACATTAACTTCATCCCAAATGATACCTTTGTGCAGAGAAGGCAGCTGAGGACAATCAGGAGAAAGATGAAGGCGGAAAGGAGCTGGGGTGCGTGTGGGGAAACAAGGGATGCAAGCAGCAAAGGGGCGACCACACAGTGTCCGAACACAGCACAGTACCTGATGTCCTCGTTCGTGACCTTGGTGTAGCGCAGGTTGAGTTTCACGATTCCCTTCTCCTTCATGCGCCGCGTGTCCAGCTTGAGGCCAGAAGTCTGCTGGAAACCTGGCGCAATCCGTCTGACCAGCTGCCGCTCCGCATCCGGCAGCCACATCACCTGCGGAAGGAGGGAGACGGAGAGGTTCCTATTGCAACGATGGCTCACAAGGCAGGTAACATGAGGCACGTTGGCAAATGAGCTGTTTAGACCAAGAAGCAAAGACCACACCAAGCACTTTGCCTTATTTGTCATACAAATTGGCTTGGATACACGTAGAACCTCCCACATCTCTACTCAAACACATCTCAGGATGGCTGGCAAACCAAGACGTCTCTAATGAACACAAAAAAACCCAATACTTTTGCCTCTATGAGATGGTTTGAGACAGAAAGAGGTCAGGCAAAAGCCTCATGAGAAGAGGCATAGCCTATCCTTTAAAACTTGCTCTCCTTGTCCAATTCTGGACACAGAGGGAACTAAGGATATGAGGCTAAAATCAGTGAATGTACCATGTACAGGAAATCACAGTGCCATGGTTGAGACTAGTTTTATTCAACCCTTTTCATCAATACCACAGGTGCTCAAACCCAGAGCAAGGATTTCTCTGGTTTCATATCATGCTTTGAAAATGTGTGTCAAATCAATTATCCTTAACACGCTTGGCTGAAGGATACAAAGTGGATGCAGAAGCCAAGCTGGGCAGTTTTATAGCTTGTGCCACGCAGAAATTGGGCCAGATGTTCTCAGTAGTACTGTGGAGCATTGCATTGCATGAGTCCATTGCATTAGCCTTTTTAATAGCAAACCTGAGTGAGAGATTTCAGTTTGCTTCGCTACATCTATGTTCCAACTATTATACCCTATCTTCCATTCCACTGTGCTATATCCAAAGAGAAGACAGCACAGTCCTCCCAGAGATCTGGCAGAGCAAGCAACCGCTTGTGGAAAGCACTCACTGCCACTGCGACCCAGAGTTAATTGGAAATTGGGGGGCAGTTATTAGAAAGACAGACAAAAACCAAAAGTAGCTCCGTTCCCTCCTGGCCCCATCATTGCACAAGTTGGAGCACTGAACATTCCCACTTTTCTGTGCATACAGATGCAAATAATTGGTATAGATGAAATGTCTAAGTTGCAAGTGATGCAGTCACTACGCTCACCAGCCTCCCTAAGCATCCATTTATTCAGCCCAAATTCAAGGGAGACACCAGGACAAGCGAAAGGAGCAGATTTCTTCCCAAGACAGGCCAAGGAGAGAAGCTTCCCAAGGTCCCAAGTTCCCAGGTAGGGGTGCCCTTCCAAAACATGGGAAGTGGGATTCTCCCTCTGGGAAAGTTCACTGCATCATAATGGGATCACGATGGGTGAAACTATATACTTTAGGGTCAGAGGACATAGATAAGGCTGGCAGGACGATACAATGACTCAAATATTTAGCATAACCCAACAAGAACAATTCTGAAACAAGAACTGAGAGCTTGGAAAAGATCTCTACAGGGTTATGTCTCCCTGTGCTGGAAGGTCCACCTCTCCAGGACACACATTTCTCCTCCAAACAGAGGTTGGCTCTGGATTGCAGTGGTGTCTTGGCACGAGGAAAAGGATTATTTAAAATTAAGGAGAGGGAGGAAGATGCAGGCCATTCAGCTTTTGCACTACAACCCACATCCACGTCTCAACCTCTTCCCCCGTATCTGGAGGCTCTTATCAAAGGCATTAGTCCAACCTCTCCTCAAAGCAGAGCCACCAATAAGTTCACACCAAGTTGCTCTGGGTTTTGTTGAAAATCTCCAAGGATGGAGCTCTCATAGCCTCTCTAGGCCCCAGTGCCACTGCTTGCCTGTCCTCATGGGGGAAACTTGTGGAATGGAAGCCTCTTGAGTTTCAATCTATGACAACTGGATTTCACTATCCTGACATAAACCTCAGTGAACATCTGTCTTCTCAGTGACTTCCTCATAGGTATTGAGCAGCTGCTCTTAGGTCTCCCCAGAAGCATCTCTTCTGGTTGAGCAAACCCAGCTCCCTCAGCCTCTCCTCATACATCATGCATCCAAATCCTGACAAGTTTGGTGGCCTCTGCAGGATTTGCCCCAGGTTATTAACGCCTGCCTCATGCCCCCATCAGTCCTGCTTCATCCTGTTCCTAAACTCTTCTCTTTGGCATAAACGTGGCCAAGTCATTTGCCCAATTTCCATGGAACTCACAGCCTGCTGCCGAATCCCTGATGCCAGGATGGTTTCCAGAGTGACATTGATGTAAGTGCTGTAGTAAGGATGAGCAAGTGGCAGGTCCTGGAAGTTCAAGATGACCGATGCATTATCCTTCACCACCTCTAGCATATCTGCCAGCTTGCAGACTGACTGGTTGGCAGCTTCCAAGTAGTCAGAGCGTGAGAGGGACCCGGCCGTCCAGAAAGGGTCATTCTGAAAGCAAAGGACATCACAGCATTACTGCTACAGAGCCCAGATAGCCCCAGAATCAGTGGAGCATCTTTGCCACACAACCTGGGCAACAGCAGCCAATGCTGATGGTTACACTCGATGCCTGTTTTTACAGTTTGCTCAAGCGTTTCCTCAAGCCAGCTCCATTCCCGTTTCTCCATCCAAGGATAGGTGGGAGATCCTTACTGAGAGTCAAGTATGCCATGCCAGACATGGAGATGTCCTCCATTTCCAAGGAGACATCTGAACTAAAGCGTAGATGTCAGAAGCAGGCAGTGACCAGAGATATGAGGAAAGTAAGGAAATAAAAATGAGGAAAATGAGGAAAAATGAGGAAATGGGATCAAAGAACAGGAATCAGTAGCATGGACAGAGAAGGTGAGAAAGAAGTAATAGCCTGCCCTGGTCAGCAGCTGAGCTTTTACACAGGGCTAAGGGCACTCAATGCAGTTTGCAAAGGTAGTAAGTTAAAAATATTCTTTTTTTACATTGGGTAAGATACTGCAAAGGATTTTCCAAGATAGAATTAAAAACAAAACAAAATGAACACAGCTATTGTATAGTGTTGCATAGCTAAAAGTGATCAGAGAGGACTCACATGGGGATTTGGGATGGATCTAACCACCTCTGTTCTCCTAGGACAACCCTTGTCAGTCCAGCCCATCTCTTGGAAGGGGTCATTTCAACATTTAAATTCAGGATCATCCTCTACCTCCGACCTTCCTCTCCGAAGTGCTTGAGATCCTTCAAAGCAGAGGGACTAGGCAAACGGGGACCATCTAGATTTAAGGATGTTCAGGAATGAATCTGTCTCAAA